GGGGGAAAATTGTTTGCTTTTAGATTAACCGTAGTTTTTTTTTTTTAGCTGTGAGTAGAGTGAAGTTGTCTCTGGACACAATATTCTGCTTGCCAAGGAAAGTGAGAACGTTTTCTGCATGAACAACAGTCCCCACGCGATACGTGATTGTCAATTTTCTGATACTGCTACTGCAATTTGGAGTGACCCCTACGTTACCGGCCGGCGATGGTTAGCACGGCGGCCCACCAGAAGCGAGCACCCGTTTCACCGTGACAGCATCTCCATAGGTACGAGCACCAACAGCGCCGCCAGTGAATTGGCGTGCCAAGGCATTCTTGCACCATCACCGGTTCGCCCACGTGTGCGTATGGCCTCTTTTCCCCAATATGCTCGGCAGCCACCCATTGGGTCTGATGGGAGCGGCAGTTGGGGGCATAGTACCGATGTGGCCGCCAGTGCCACACCAGCGCAAACCTCATCGGTGACACTGGAGGCGGAAGTAGTAAAAGCATCTATGAAAACCCAAGCAGAAACACAGCTTTTCCTTCGCTGCTCCCCGCACATAATGATACACTCCACTACAAAAGTGCCTGCTGCTGGGCACTTGCATCCCTCTGGCGGCAACTGCCCGACTACGCCCAATTCTGCAGGAGTGCGCATTCGCAGCGGCACCATCGATGATGACGACGCCGTCCGAACGTACTTCTTTGTAAATGTCCCAGAGTTATGGGGAGAAGGCTTTGGCCAGAGTGATTTCGTCGCGGGCGTGATCAGAAAGGAGCTGGTGATCAATGTGGGCGCCGCAAAGACGTTCCAGCGCAGCGGTGCGCGCAGGTGCCGTGCTGCAGGGCCAGGCTTTGAGCAGGCGGACTTGCAGACGTTCTGGCGCGCTGCAGCTACGTGTGATGGCGACGCAGAAAGAAGTGGTTTGGGGGAAGATGAAATAAAATAACGATAGAAGCGGTGACCGGGTATTCACATTGACTTGTGTGGTCACATGACGCACCTTCACTGAACCAAAAGGTCATTGAGAGTGAGGCTGCGTCTTAAAAAGCCGGCACACTTCGGGTTTTTTTTCCCCTGTGAATTGCATTCGGCGATGATTTTATTTTCTTTCTATGTTCTTTTTTTTTTTGTTATTTCCCTGCTTGTTTGCTTGCCGTGGTATGTGCATACATGTGCCTAAGCCCTTCATTTTGTTGGAGGCCTGCCCGCTGCTCAAGCGATACACTGTGTACCTGCTTGGTGTGGTCCTACCAAAGGATTCCGGCACCTCTGCAGCTGCATAGGGGGGCGAGCCTAACTACGACTGGGCGCTCTTTATCTTTGATTTCTCTTTCGTTACCAATGCATAAGGTTTTCTTTCGCTGTGATCTGAGGTTGCTGCTGCTGCGCTGTCGCGGCCTCAGTGGCTGTGTGCCCATGCTTTTTTTCTTTTTTTTTTCTTGTTTCTCCCCCCCTCTCTCTCTCGATATATAATCATATATAAAAGCATATATCTACATATATATATAAATATAGAG